GAAATTGTTTAAATTTTTTTCGCATAGTTTTAAAGTAAAAGTTCATGGAGTTCAAATTTTTTCGATATTTAATAGTTTTTAATAGGTTTTTAAACACAATTAGAAGAAGCATATTTTTGCAAGAAGTTTAAAAATTTTAATATAATAAAATTTTTTTGGACCTAGGAGAGTTGTTTTTTATCTTTAAAAAACGCAATTATACAATTTTCAAACTTATTATATATCGCGATCTAAGAAGTGGAGCTATTGTGTCCTACAACCATTGACAATGACATTTATCCTAATAAATTAATTATCGATTATTTGTAGCTCTTTCGCTGTCAAAATGTAGCCCTTACAAGGTCCTTTGTCCAGCAAATCAGCGATGTACATTAGCAGAGAAGATGTATTTCCCATATGTTTTTTCCATCTCTGAGTATACAAGCAATGTTAGCGCGACCTAAATTCAACTTTCTCAGATTATTATTAATGTCCCGTTCGAAAACTCGTTAATCTTCTCGATATTAGTACTAAGTATTAATATTTATTATTTTACCATTTCTTCCGTAATCAACCGTTTCTACACCTTTTGGAAAGTAACTTTAATATCCTTGCATTCCACAACTTGTCTACGTTCTTTTGAGTAATATTCGTCATTTCTATATACATGCCACTTTATTTCTGTTCAAATAATCATTTAGTTGGAATTAAAGAAAAGTTTGAACATGAACCAAAAATTTATCATCTTTATAGTAAAGGTCTTACACAGGTTCGTTTTCAAACCTTAAACAATAAATTGGAAATAAAAAATATGACGGCAAGATTGTTCAGCACAACACTTCGAAAATCTTAATTTTTTCGATTTTTATATTGTATTTAATATTCGTAGAGTTCACATTATCATTCCAATTTTTATTGTTTACTTTATGAATACAAACAACTTTTATTGTTCTTCATATCTCTGATTGTGCCGCCAATAGCAATTGATCTGTAAAAAAATTTTATACCTAATTTTTTTTTTTTTGTATTATTAAAAATACTCTTAAAGGCATTCTACAGCTAAATATTTAAGTATGGAGATATATCGTAACCATTTCCGTTATATTAGATAAAAAAACAAAAGAAAAATGAGAAACTCAGTGAATCACCACTGAGTGGCTATAACAATATTTGATATAAAGGATGCTTACGGCTAAAATAATAATACGTTAGTATTGGAAGAAAAAATTATGGAACCAAATATTCAAACCATGAAAATAAAAAAAAGTCAATGAGATTGAATAAAATTTTACGAGATTTATACTCTCTAATAAGGACTGTCAAAAAAAAACAAAATCAGTCTATGACTAAGTAAAATTAGATCAAACCAATGATTTCCAAAGTAACATTTTTCCGGTCAGTAATTGAAGATACTGCTTTTAAAAACAATCTTATACATTATTGAAATTAAATTAAAAAAAAATAAAGTTGGGTCAAACCAATGGTTTGTATTGTAGCACTTTTCCCTTCAACAAGTAAAAATTCTGCTTTTAAATACAGTCTATGTGTACCTACCACACTATTAAAACTATTTTCATTCATATTTAACTATTTCTAGGATTGCCTATATTTAGGATGACGCATACGAGTATATGCAGTCTTTGAAATAAATCAAAAATTAATATAAAAAGGGGTTAACATAATGCTCGATTTTAAGGGTTAGTTGTGTGAGTTAAGAAAAATAATTATATTTTTTAATTTCATGGAATTTACCGTTAGCTTTTTGCGTTTATAAAAATTTGAAAAAACTTGCGGTTTCGGAAATATGAGGTTTCAAAAATTCAAATTTTACGAATTTCAAGAGGCGATAACTTGAGAGGGGGTGGAGATGGAAAAAAATTTTCTTCCAACGAAATGAACTGTTTGTTAATGTCTAAAAGCCCCTAAAATTTCAAGCTTCTGCAGACTGAGGTCTAGAAGAAAAACGACATCAAAAATTTGGAAAAAAATAACTGTAGATAACGGTAAATTTGAACGGCCATTTTGTTTTTCTAAAGTTTAACTATAGTATACCGCTCTAGGGGAAACAAGCCGCTGCCTTTCTGCGTTTGAAAAATTTCAAAAATGCTTATGGTTTCATTGCAACAAATATTTAAAAAAGGCCATTTTTAGGGTTTTGGGGGGGTATAACTTCTAAACGGGGGGAGATAGGTAAAAATTTTGTTCCACGGAAATAAGTTTCTAGTGAAGGTCTATGTACGTATGAAATTTCAGCTTTCTATCTTCAAGGGTGTAGAAGTTTTGTAAACAAAAAAAGTGTCCACGGACGGACGGACGGACGGACGGACGGACGGACGGACGGACGGACGGACGGACGGACGGACGGACGGACGGACGGACGGACGGACGGACAGAGTGAAACTAATAAGCACTTTTTTCAAAAATTTTTTTGGAAAAGTGCTAAAAACAAAAATATTTCATAAAATTGCATACATTTAGGATAAAACAAAAAATTACAGAGACGTTAACATAATGTCTTACGTAGCGGCATCGACATTTATTTTAAAAATAACACAAAGAACACTAATGAAATAATTTTTCCAGCAAAATTTTTTTAGCTAATTACTGTTGAATATTTCTAGAAATTTTTCCAATATTAAAAAAAGAGATGATTTTTGATTGAAATTGCAAAGAAATTTAATTTTAATTCTGTAGGCTAATAACAATGGTTTTCTATGGCAATTAGTCTTGACGGTAAGCTGTACGGTAAGCTGTAATGTGATTTTTAATACAATTAATCTTCTTAACTTTTATTAATAAAATTACAACTTTTTGATTTATACTTAAATGGAGGTATTAATTCATCCATACCTCGGATCCGTAATTGCCGAATTAAACTTGAAAGACGAATTTTAATGGTTGAAAAAATCAAAAACCAACTGCAAATTTTTTATGTATGAACTTAAAGTTTGAAAATCTCAAACAATTAGAATTAATGCAGTGAGCTATTTTACTAACACTCTTTTGCAATTCCTCGTGATCATTGTGCTTTTAACTATATAAATGTCTCCCATTACAGCCTTGCGGTTCTCCACTTTCAACTCATTGAAGCTCATATACATAATTATACAAATTACAATATAAAAATTTATATCAAAGATAATTATCTGAGATTCTTAAATATCCCGCAGTTAATGTGACTTCTTAAATTACACAATATTAATATTTTATTATTTTTTAACAAATGATTCAAAATATTTTGTTAAAATTTAATTAAATTAATTTTAATTTTCCATTATAAAATGAAACCACAATATTATGTTACTCGTATAAATATTCCTGTTTTTCTTTCTTTTTTAATTTTTATCTTCTAAATCTATATTAAAGTTGTTAAATAGTCTTACTAAATTTTCTAAAAAGCAATTGTTAAGATATCAAGATCAAAAAAAAAATAAAAAAAGGAGAAATTTACATAAAAAACAAGTTCAAATTTTATTCATAAGGCCACTTATAAGTAAAAACCATCGGTTTATTATATAAAAAGTTTCGAATTGTACAGAATTGTAATCTGAAGGATATTAAATTATATGTTCTGTTCTTTGTAATAATATCAAGGATTATCATTATCTTAACTGCTTTTCTCTCAAACTGACAAAATAAAACAAAAACTAAACACAAATATCTAATTTTCTTACATACATTTTCATACTATCATTTCCACACAATATTATGTATCAAGTGAGTGAATGTATGTATACAGTCAATATTATTATATACATACATTTGTACCTAATAATATATATAGAATGTTACATAAGAATGTCTGCTAAATTGGAGGTCACTCTTAAAAATTTGTGGATTTTATTTTCAGTAAAGTAACATTTATTGAATGTATATATTCTTGTATAAGCTCATTGGGTGTGAGTAAAATTATACACAGACTAAAGCACCTACATAAATTTAAATAAAAATATTTATATGTACATAATGTTACAATGTATTTATGGTGAGAACAAGTGTAAGTACAATTTTAATGTAAAAATTTATCGTGACACATTGGGAGTACGTAGTACGAGTATAGATATAGTATAGGGATGAATCCTTTTTAAGTGAATGATAAAATGAAATCAAATAAAACAGACGTACTATTTTATAAAAAATCATTTCAATTGCAGTTGAAAATTAAAAATTTTTAATTTTCTGTTGATTAAATATTTGAATTTAGTAAAATTTATTATAATTTTTAAATACGATATTTGGCAACATATATCTATTTCGAGCTGATAAATAATATTATTTTACTCAATTTGGTAAATATTAGATTTAAGAAAGATGCAGTTAAATTTGTATTTGACGTTGGTATTTGTTGAAGAATTTCTAAAAATTGTGAAAATATTAATTTTTTATTATAAGTTATTTAAAAAAAAAATTTAAATTTTCTAAATGTTTAAGGCCAAGCCATTCAGAAGTGTCAGACTCTTTAGCCAATATTGTTCAAATTAATAAAACGTTGAGATGAATCCGATGATGTCAATAAATAGCTTATTTCGAAGAATTATTTTGTGTGACCAATCAGATTTTATGTTGTATTCTACATGTGAGATTTCCTTTATACCCATTACGGTCCCCATTAATCACTCAAAAAAGTTTTCAATATTTAGAATAAATTAATAAAGTCGGGCCAATAATAAATTTAGAATATAAGCTGTAATCATAGCATATGCAGTCATTTAAAGATTCAATTCCTAAAATCAGTGTTAAAAGAGTTTTTCTGATTAATTTTTTTTTTAAATGTTTTATTTGGTTTATTTGTTTCCACTTTATTTCTGATTTTCATTTTAACTGAGATTTTTACTTCTCCATAAGACTGTGTTATATACATAGGTACATAAAATAAAATATACGATTTTTTCTCTAAATATTTCCATAAACCAATCTGTTTTTGCTTCATCTCGATATAATAATAAAATTTTATATTCTAAATTCATTTTCATTTTACTCAATTTCAATTATTTTATTTTGTTTGTTTTTATTTTCAGATCAAAAATCAATACTGACAGATAGCGATTGGAAAAAATTATGGATGAGCGCTGGTGGAGCTAATCAAAAAACGGATAACAATTTAGATTCAAGTGATTCACCTGCCTTCGAAGATAGTGAAGTAAGTTTAATATGCCATACTTATGTTATTATAAATTTGATCGTAAGAGAATTTTGGCAAGTATAAATAATTTAGTAATAGTAGAGGGGATTAAAATAAAATAAAATCGTACGAAGTGGAAATAATCGTGTATAATGGTGTAAGAGAGAAAGTTTAATAGAAGTGAAAGGAAATGGGAGAAGTGATTTTTTTTCATATTGTTTTCTATACCCTTGCTTCTTCACTCTTTTTTTTACATACATAAAAATCTCGATTTACAGTTAATTTTTATGTTTAACATTAGAATTTTTTTAATGACCCCATGGTTAAAAATTTATTTTATATTATATAATGTGTGTACACCTTTGAAATGCAAAAAAATTAAGTATTTACACGTGTAATACATACATATAGTTATCGACCGGTACATACAAATGCAAATAAATTTTCGATGCGGTAAGAAGCGAAAATTTACTTTTAAAGTTCAGTGCTTTCTTTTGTTTTCGTTTCTAATTTTTCTAGATTTTGATAAGAATTTTTAAATCACAGGATGCGGTATTTAATTTTATTGGATAACATTAAAAACTGTGATTTTCTCTTGTTCATGATTATATCAAATTGCTGGAAAATTAATATTCTAAATTTTAATATTTTGCGTCAATAATAGGGTGGGATTTGGACTTTAGCGTCATAGAAGCATGTTTTGAACAACTAAAAAAGTATACTTAGTTTAATTATTCCAGTTTAAAAGTTTACCTACTTTAAACATTGCATTTTTTTAGTGAAACCTATCAGTAAATTTAATCACTTTTTATTTTTTAATTATTTAACATTATTATGAAATAAATTGGTAATTATCAAAAAGACGTATTTTGGATTAAGACACGAATATTAGTGTTGAGTTGAGAATCGAATTGTACCATACATTAAGTTTGAAAATTTAACAAAACCCTATTTCGAGTCTATTCTGGTGAATCATCTACAAAGTTATTAATCTTAAGGTTTTGTATTTAAAATTCTTTCAAAAAAGAAAATTTCAATTCACCTATGTTATCTCTCCCATACACTCTCATTGTGTGCACATCATTATAATATCTGAAATTGAGCTTGTGACATTAATTATTTTAAAAAATGTCATTATAATAAATGCTTTTCTTATTATATTTCATGAATTTCAAATAAAAATTTTTTTTTTTTGGAAAATCATGGAAAATTAATTTTGTTTCTGTTGTATTTTAAAATAATAGCAATGTTAATCTTCTCTGACATTATTTATAGAAATTTAATTTTATTTTTACGCTAAATTTATCAATTTATTTTATGTTTACTTTGTACCTAAGAGAATTTAAAACTTTTTAATTTAAATTTAAAACAAAAAAATAAAATAATACAAAATGTTTTATTTTTTATGGTATACAAAATATACTTACCTACACATACATAATTTATAATGAAATATGAAACAATCGTGATTATATTAAATTTATTTTAAATATGTAAATTTGTAAAACATGTGTTTCAAAAGAAATATGTATGTACATATAAGGAAAAAAAGAACGATAGTAGGTGTGACAAATAAATTGTTGTCTCAGGAATTATTTGGTGTAGGTGAAAATTTCCAAAAATTTCTTAAATTTTTATGTTAAGGTTTAAAAAAAGAAAAATATATTTTATAAAAAAATTATGGTCTTTTGATATTTTCCTATAACGATTGTAATCTTAAAGAACTTATCTTTAGTCCTTCGAATGTGCGTGCTTATTGGTAGGAAATTATTAAGATTCCTTTCTCTATGGTGCAAAATTCGATTAAGTGGGCATAAACTTATTGTTTTTGCTGTTACTGATTCAAACATTTTCAAACAATTCGGAAGCATATATTGCTATATATATAGGATTGCAGTTAATAAATACATGAAAATTATTCTTACTTATTCAATAACTTGTTCTAGAAGGTTTTATGCAAGCGTAAGCGTTGAAATATTTGGTTTGATTAAAAAAAAGTTCAATTTATGCAGTTTTTGAAAAGTTGTATTTAAAATTTGTATTTAAATTTAAAGAAAAATGTTATTAGAAAAAAACTTGCTCTTTCATTTTGTTCTATTCAATTTTGTAAGCCCCATCATCGAACTCATTGTTTATCTATCCAACATTATTTTACAGTTTTGTTTAATTTGAAATGATTTTCGATTTATACTGATTTGTGGAAAGTTGTGCAAAAATCTATTATAAAAATATGTGCTTATTCAGTCTGTACGGAATCGAATTTATGTTTTACGACACGTAGGCAAATTTTAAAATTTAAATTTTCTTTTACTTCTTTTTTCAATTTGATAATAAATTTCCCCTTGATCCTACAAAATATACCATTTTGTGTACATATTGTATTTTGGTGGTGCCTATTCATCCTTGTTATCGTTTTTATATTTATATGAAAATAATTATATTAAATTGTAAAAAATTTTCCGTTTTTTCCTCATATCAATTTCAATGCATTATGAAAAGAGAAAAAACCTAAAAAAATTTTTATTGTTCTTTCGGTAGTTTCGAATTGGATCTATAATCACGATTTTTTTTTTTCTTACGAAATTCAAATACCAGGTTTTTTAGGATAAAAATTTTTTTTTCGTATTTTTATTTTTTGTTAGAGTTGTCAAATCAAAATAATATGCTCAGAAATTTTATAATTTCGTATCAAAATTTCAATGAGGCTTTTTAATTAGATCAGTTTATTATTATTATTATTAAATCGCTGAAAATTGAAATTATAAATTGGAAGGAATTCGGAGCGCTCTAACTAACTTAAAAATTACGAACAACAAAAAATTTTAACTTTTATTTTCATAAAAAATTTAGCTTTTTATGCGATTTTAAAGCGGTAGAGTCTCTAAGATTTATGGATATAATTATTTTTAATGTACGTTTCCGGAGTGTACCAAAATTCGTGTCTCATTTACAAAGCCTCTTGAGGTATTTAATAAATAGATACGAATTCAAAAAAAGGTCTGTAATAATCGTATGTGCCTAATTTATGCCACTTGTGTTGAACATTTGAAAGTGCATTTAGGTTTAAAAGAGAAAAAAGTTTGTCTCTGACCAGAGTGGAAACAAATTAATTTTATTCTGGAACTAATACCGTTCTGTGGTAAAAAAATAGAAACAAATTAAAATTTTTAACTAAAAGTTTTGTATTTTAAAAAGTTCGATAATTTACACAAAAATTTAAAACACAAATTTTCATTAATATTTCAATGTACGGTTTAAAATTTTTTTTTTTTTGGGAAACTCACAGGAAATCCTTTGTATTTTTTGTCTTTATCATTATGCTCTCTACCTTTAAATAAAATATTTTTAACAATAAAATTTGATTCTTAAAGGCTCTTTTATTTTTGATGGTACAATCCCAAATTCTTAATTTTGTTAATTTTTTAAACAAAAACAAAGTATGCTCATAAAATAAGATTTTTTTTTTTGTTGGAATTTGACAACCCTTTTGCGCTTTTAGTGTAAAATAAGTGACACAACATTCTCATATTATCCAATCCTTAAAATTTGATCCTTATAGAAAGGAATAAGAGAGTATTGAAATGAAAACAAAATGCTGTTTTGTATTCCGAGTATAAAGGGAAAACAAATACGAAAAACATGAGGAAAAGCTAAAAACTTTTGTATGTGTACAAAAAGTCATTTTAGAACTTTATTTGTAGGTATGTGATATTTTTACAGTTATAGTTTATAACTATACATTTTTATTGTAAATATTCATGCACCGTTAGTCAAAGGGAAAGAAACAATTCTATTTTTCCTGTATACGAAAAAAAAATAAATTTGATTCCTTTTAATTTTTTTACATTACAGTAAGGTATGCTGTATATAACTGCATGCTTTGTAATTTTGCTCAAAATTTCTATCTTAAATAAAAAGAAAGAAAAGAAGCACATTATATACAAACACATACTAAAGATAAATTTCAAAAAACAAAAACTAAAAACGCTAAGAAACGGTAACTTCCTGTCGTCGTATTTCACTTCTCATATGTCGCAATTTTATATTTTCTCGCGTGTTAAATTTGTCTCTTTATTTACTTTCGTGAATACGTCAGTGTTTTTTTTTTTGTTTTTCTTTCAATTTTATGATTTTTTTTTCTTTTATAAAGATTTTCACCTGTAATATTACTACAACATTGGGATTTTACTTTGTTTTTCTTGTTTTTTCTAAATTTTGTTTTGTTTTTTTTTTTTGAAATTACACCACACCTGCTGCAAATCTTATAGGTACGGCAAACAAAATCGACTATGATATTCCAATTCCGAATTCCCTAATGCAGAGGAACGAACAATAACAATAAAAAAAGTGAAAATGAATTTTAGTTTATTTTTTTAAATTCTCTGCTTTATTTACGGAAAAATGTACATCCTGCGAAAAAAAAACAATTTGGAAAAATTATGTAGAAATACAAATTTTACGAGAAAATTGCGAAATTTATTTGTTTAACGTTCGGATAACTGTAATTTTTTACACTAAAAAACAAAGGCTTTTTTGGTAAGTAACAAAAAGGCCAAAACATAGAATTGAAATTATGAGACTGTTTGGAACATTTCAAGTTGCTTACGTAAGTCTGTAACAAAATGGCAAATATCTCTTAGACAATACTAACTTTAACTGAGCTCGTTTTTCATTAAAACATAATGGACAGTTGGGGTTAACTGCAAATTTCATTTTCACTAGTCTCGAAGGCTTCACTTTAAAAGTAACGAAAGTGGCCACGTTTTACCAAATAAGTAATTCCAGTGCGATATATGTTTCAGACTGACAACAATATTTTACGAAATCAATGGGGCTAACAAAATTGTTTGTGACAGTGTGACACATTTCTCTTGAACAAGTTTAAATATTGGGTTTTAATTTTTAAACTATTTTTTTACTACCGCATTACTTGGTACGTTCTCTTGTCGCATTCATCTTGGATGTGATCATAAATCAAAAGGAATAATATTGATATTTTTTTTAGATTGTTTATAGTT